GTGACCAAAACCCTGAGGGGAGTGGGAAAGTCGGATACCGGGAAGAAATGCAAAGAGGAACGAGCAACAAAGGAGGACCCCTGATTCAAATGGACAAGATAGGGCGATCAACTGGTTATTTGAAGTGTTTTTACATTAATGCGAGAAGCCTGGGCAACAAACAGGAAGAACTGGAGGCCCTGGCCCAGACCAAGAAATATGATTTAATTGGGATAACAGAGACTTGGCGGGATGACTCGCATGACTGGAGCGCTGTCATGGAAGGGTATAGACTGTTCAGGAACAACAGGCAGGGGAGAAAGCCCCTTCTCTATCACTTGCAGAAGGAAAAATATGGCATCTGTGGTTCCTCATCCTTCCCTGTGATAGAACTTTTCTTTTTTTGAGGATGGTTCCCAACACTCCTTTAACACTAGCAACTAAAATATGACCCAGCACCTTCATCTCATGCAACAGTAATTTTAAACCTAAATAGTTTCCACATTCACAGATGCTTTCCTTTTATGTGTTGGGACCAAAATAGACTTGCCCCAATCTTGGGAGAATCTCTTGTCTTGCCAGACTGTTTTAGCCACTCTGCTCATCTGTTCTATGCCTTTCACCCAAGACTATCACCAGCTCCAGTGTCACCTCATCAGGTTCCACTGTCTTACCATTCATTTTCTGGGCTGCATTTTTCATCTCTTCCTCCATGTCTGCCTGTCTCAGGCATCACATGTGGGCAACTCCATCCAAAAGGGTTTGCCTCATTTCAGAACTTAGATATCGTTTCCACCTCTTCATTCCTTCTTCAGGTGCTACTAAGAGTCTCCCCAGGCATAACTTACAAATGGTGTGGCAGTACCCGCCTTCTTTCCACAGAATCATGCAGTGTTATAGAAATCTTTGCCAGCCAACTGTGGGTTGTTTACAAACTCATCTTACAGGCTGTCTAGGGACATTGTCTTTGGCCTTCACTGCCTGATTGGCAGCTTACGGTTTCTCTGCATTCACTTTCATTTGCACTCAGTGGATTTTTTCTTTATGCCCCTCTTGCACTCCATTTCAGATTGCCATCTGCTCTTCACGGGTCCATCACCACTACATCTCCCTCCTCCTCTCCTCCCACACTACATTGTCATTGTCCACAAACCTCTTCTACTGCCACCACCCATGTTCTTTTGAGGTGGTTCCACTCCTCCTCGAATGTTGTTAAATCCGTTTGTAGCTATCGGTCCTGCTTGCCCAGATTTCTCACATATTTCCCTTAACTCCCCAGAAATGTGTGTTTCTTTTGAGGCTAACAAGCACTGGCTAGCCCAGTATTGTCTGCGGACATACTTGCAATAGTTTTCAGGCGATTGACAGCATGAAGTTTTCATTCTGCAGCTTTCCTATTTTGTTCTAATAATCCATCTCTTACATTTAATAGCATGTTTTAGTATTTCTATTGGTAAAACAATCCATTAACTAAGTGAAGTGCTCTAGTGTCATACAACAACAACGATGCTCTGATGAATTTGGAGGATTGCTTCATTGAGGTGTTCCCACAGGAGCTTATGCCACTCAGTAAGATTCTGCTGTGCTGTGTAAGATCAATGCACAAACATCAGCAACGGCATAGATTTGTCTTCTGAAATTGTGATAATATAGCAAAGAGGTACCATTTCACAAAATTTACAGCTTCATAATCCTCTGTCAGTAAGGGGAAGTTATATAATAATGAAAGTCTTGCAGGAAGACTGGGATAACCATTCCCATTCCTAGACAGAAACAGCAGTTAACTGGTAAGCCTCACCCTATAGAGTAACTGTTTTCTTGAATGCACTTGAAGACATACTTTAATACAGTGGCCCTTTCTCTCACCAAGTCCTCTGCTATAGAGCAGTCATCCAGAACACATTAAACTAGAATGAAACAGACCCAAGGTAAGTGCCTTGGTCCTTAAAATAATGAAGATAAATCCTGAGCCAAGTTACAGACAGTTTGTGAATGAAACAATAAGGCTTTTTTCTTATTTATTTAGGCATTTACTGCCTGGTATATACATTGTTTCAGCACTGTCCCACTGTCATGGAAAGGTCTTTTATGTATTAATAAGAAAATCTTTTCAAGACTAAGAGCTGGTCTGGGTGGACTTGCCTTTTGGTGCCCATGGCCCCTTGGGGTCATGGCATTCCCCATAGCTACAGTGACCATATTTTCCAAACCAAAAATGGGGACACATGATATAAAGGCCCTACCAATCAATCAAACCTTAGCCATGCTCTGACACCTTAGGCCCCACCCACCAGCTCCAGACTCTCTGCCATCTGGCTCTTACTACGTTTAAAAGACAGAGGCGCAATGGGGGAATTTCTGCGACATTTTGGTCCTTTATAGGGACAACGGGACAGAAGATTTAAAATTGGGACTGTCCTGGAAAATCTGGGACTTATGGTCAGTGTACCCATAGCCCTTACCCCCAAACCTTTCTATATTGCTAATCCCTGCACCTCCCTCTTACATCCCTAATCACTGGACATTGTCCCTTTCATCCCAACCTCTGCTCTCCCCTCCTCTGCTCCCATCCCTGCATCCCCTTCACCTCCCACCTGAGCCCCTAACTTCTTCATACTCCTTTTGCACCCATGTGGAGAAACTGACCTTGATGAACAAAGAAGCTGACATTGCCCATTAGACTGCTGCTTCTCCCACTCCACGAACCTTGGGGCTGGAAAGGGAGGAGCGAGGAGCAATATCAGAGCTCCTTACATGCAGCTCACTTTCCTTGTCAGGGCTGCATAAAGAGGGCAGGAAAGCAGCCGTTGATGATGCCCACAGGTCTGTTCTCAATAGTGACAGATGGCAGAACAAGGAGCAATGGTCTCAAGTTGTGGTGGGAGAGGTCCAGGTTGGATATTAGGAAAAACTATTTCACTAGGAGGGTGGTGAAGCACTGGAATGGGTTACCTAGGGAAGTAGTGGAGTCTCCATCCCTAGAGGTGTTTAAGTCTCGGCTTGACAAAGCCCTGGCCGTGTTGATTTAGTTGGAATTGGTCCTGTCTAGAGCAGGGGGCTGGACTTGACCTTCTGAGGTCTCTTCCAGTTCTATGATCCTATGATTCTATGAACGTTACCCTCAGGAACTAGTACTATTAGGAGCAGTGAGTTAGTTATTAGTGTGCATGTCCATTCAATTCCAAGCAGTGACTTGCAACTGTCCATTTTTCAATGCAACTTTGCCCCACCAGAAAAATATAAATCGTGATACCAGAACCGAAGTCATCTCTAGGTTCCCATCCACCACCTCTTGACTCCCGAGGACCTCCTCCCATTCCTAAAAAGAAAAAAAAAATGTCACAACTGTCAGCTCTCAAGTAATGCAAGACAATGATTACTGGGAAATATATACTGCCAAATTAATCTGGTGCAAAACCCTTGTTCATCTGAATAATGTCACAATGCTGCCTCTACTCCCACCAAATACACACAAAAACAGTTTCTGAAGTGCGAGTTTTCAAACTGAACTAAGGAAGAGCTGATGACATAGCCTCTAAAGCAGGCATGTCAAACTTGAAGCCTACGGAGGGCCGCACAAATGATGGTTTGATCAAAAAAGAAAAAATTTGTCAAGCGCGCACAGACACACACACGGACACACACACAGACACACTTTAGGTGCCAGGCAGAAGGCACCCATACAGGATGCCTGGCAACCCTAGGGCCACCAAAAACAATAGACTTTGTTGGAAAGTTATAGTTATTTATTATAGATTACGGTTTAGGTATATTTTATAATATTACAATAATTTGGTGTGTAAAATTGTTATTTGCTCATATTAAATAATTTTAAAATTAATTTTACATAATTTTTAATTTAAACATAAATTTAAGGTACTTTTAAATTTTGTATAGGATATACAACTTGTTTTGTTGAAATAAAAACAAGTATAGACGATGGTTAATCAAATAGAACAGGCTTCTGTGAAAATTTCAGATACTTTGTAAGTTTGAGATTTTGCATAAAGATATAATTCATGCAATTGCAAAAAATTGACAGTGATATAAAATTAATATACATTTTGTGATTTTATTTGGGAATAAATAAAAAAATCAAAATATTAACAAAATAACCCCTTCTCCCCCAGAGCCAGGCACTCCCACACCCCCATTATAACCCAATCCCCCTCCACTCCCCCAGAGCCAGTCCCCACAACCTAATGTCTCCTCTCTCCTGCAGAGCCAGGCACCCCCAACCTACTGCCTTGCCCAGAGCCAGGCACTCCCAGCCTCTCCCCCGCCCCCAACTTAATACTTGGGTCCCAGAGTTAACATTGCTGCCTGAGGCGCTAGGGTGGCGTAAGCACAGTGGCCAGCTGTGAGCCTGCTGGAGCGCCCAGCACAGAGCACCCAGCTGGCTGGGAGCGCATGCGCAGAGCAGCCCGGCCGGCTGTGAGCATCCAGCTGGCCGTGAGCGCGTGTGCAGAGCAGCCCAGCCGGCCGTGAGCAAGCACTCGGCCACGTGCTTCAAACAGCTAGTGGGCCTCACTTCAATCTTTTATAAAAATGTAGTGGGAGCTGCAAAAAATTTCGATTGGGCCGCATGCGGCCCACCAAACGCCAGTTTGACATGCCTGCTCTAAAGCAAAATCACCATGTAGAAAGGTTGAAGATACACTCCCTTAGAAATCCAACTAAGAGACTTTGGTGAAAAGGAAGTAAGAACTCAGATTTATCACAGCATATTTGAGGAATGTCATATTAAGACTATTGTTTTTCATTAATTTAGCTTGCTCACCTTTTGTCCTATGAGAAAGCACAGAAGACAAGACAGCTGCACCAATGATTATGGTTTTGACTTCATTTCCTGGGCCTTGAGTGACAATGCATACAGCTCTTGCTGAAGTATGGAGTTTATTTACTCCTCTATGCAACTAACAAGCAACAATTACAGGGCTAAATGGAAATGAGTCATTTCTACTTTATATGTAATCTGAATGGAAAATTTATCCATATGCCTGCTCTTCAGATGTCAGGTAGTTTTCACCTTACATGGTCATTATACAGCTATAACCAAATGCTAACACATTTATAAAAATGTCATCTAAGTAAGAGAAAATTACCTCTGTCATCAGGCCCAGCACCTTTTCTGAAGCCAAATCCACCTTTGTCTTGTTTTCTGCCCTCTGCTATGTCCACTCGGAGTGCTCGGTCATTCAAAAGCTATTGAAAAGAAGAGGGGAAAATGCTTGAAGTATTTGCCAAACAGGATTGCAAAGAATTCTAACATTCTGCTGATCTTTACATTTAAGAACATAAATCGAGTTATACTTACTGCGCCATCGTATGTCAAGGCTTCCTTAAGTGATTCCACCTCATCAAATTCTACATAACAAAATCCTATAAGAAAAATTAGAAATCAATAAAAGAGCTTCAAGTAATTCTGCTGTATGTAACAGACAGCATGCCCATGTCAGAGACTACTTTCTTTTAATTTTGTAGATTATTATAGATTAAGTTTACTCTCTGATTTTACAATTAAGGAGAAAGCTTCCAACCAGATCAATGAGTTAACAATTAATTGTTCCAAAGTTTTCCAAGACTGACTACAGCATCTGTTGGACTGAAATAGTGATATTTTAAATGCCAAAATAACACTTATCTAATTCATTTTAACACTGCTTTAACACTACCATTCTGCTTGCTGCTCTTGTTTTTGAAATCCTCTGCTTCCTAGAGTTACAACATCTTCCTGCTCCAAACATTAGATTATACAGACTACTGATGCTGGCAGATGCTGAGAGAAATAGATGCCAATATCTTACAGGGGTGCCAGATTATTTTCTTTTAAACTGGCTGCCTTCAAGAAACGCAATCCCCTTCTGCAGTTTATCCTTTTCTTGTAGTAATGAGTTGATACTAGAGATGTAAAAATTAAAAAACTCACTGTGTAACACAGTTAAATACTCTGCAGGCTGCTGCCGGCCCCACAGTTAACCAGTTAAAATCTTACATCCCTTGCTGAAATCATGCAAGTTTTCCTAGAAGCTAGAAACTGAGTTGATAATAAGGACTGAGGATCAGTAGAATTTGTCTCAGTGTCAGGTTACTTAAAAATTGCAGAAGTCTCAGTTCTGTTCTCAGAAGACTAAATTGCAGAAATGATTAAAAATTTGCAAGGTGAATCCATGAGAATAATCTGAAGTCCCTTATGCTGGGCAGCAGAAATATTTAGTCTTCTAGGCATATATTACAGTTTTCTGCAAATGAAGTCCATGTCTTTCTCAGTTACCCATTTGAGAGAGGTCAATGCTGTTTGTGTTCATCTGATTCATGTTCACATGTCAGATGCTAATGGATCCACAGAAAGTCATCAGCATACATGAAGAAATTCATTCAAATTTGTCAGATTTTAAAAATAGGATTTAGAACCCTCAAAGATCAAGTATCTGAGCAAACCTAATGAGTGGCTATGTAGGAAAAAAAATCATACAAGTGGCCCACCTTTAAATTTGTCTGTTTCTTTATCTCTGACTAGTCGCACACTCTTTACACTGAGATCCTTAAAGATTGCATCTATGTCTCCTTGAACAGTGTTGAAGGGTAGATTTCCCACATATGCAGTGAAAGGGGGCTCTGTTGGCAGCTCTTTCTGTCTACGAGAACCAGGGCCAGGACCACCACGAGACCTAACGAGAAACTCAGAATTACAACTCTGATAGTTGGACAACTTCCAGGGTACTCAAGTAGTAACAGTCACAGTCTAAATGTTGATTGAATTGTAGTATTTAGTCACGGAGATGAACCCAGCTCTTAGCATCTTTAAGTTCTTCAGTCTTTATGGTCTTGGCTTTGTTTTAAAAACAGTTTAAGGTTATTTTTCAAACATCAGAACAATATGCTCCTGTGATATCACAAGCACCTGCTGCTGTCAAAAGAAAATTAAATACTCAAATGAATACTTAATACTCAAGAAAAGTCAAGCAATGGTTAAAAACTGAGGGGACACACTGCATCTTTGATTATAGCAAATTGTCTCTGTACTGTCTCATACAAAATTTTGAATATAGACTGCAGTTAAAACTTAACTCAGAATGTGATTTTCAAAGAAATGTCACTCCCTTAGGCATTCCATCAACAGATGCGAGTACACGGCTCCCTTATGCCCCTTTAAAAATCCCAACCTTCCCAACCAACAGACTAATTCAATTACTAACCTATCTTTTCTAAATAATTGAAATGTAGACTATTAACTCCAGTATGTTACTGGATTAAACTGTACCAGTGTAAAGTCTCCCTTTGCACTGGTGCAGCTCATTTACATGGGACTGCACTGTGTGCAGTTACTCTAGTCTACTTTTTCTTAACAGACAGGAATGGAAAAACATCCATTAAAACTACCTGCAAGGCAACAATTTTAATATCAGGTTATTAGAAAACAAATTTTCCTACAAAGCTGTTGAGAACTTGGCCCTACTGAACTTTTTGTTAAGTCAACTGCCAGAGGCTAGGATAAAAAGCCATATTAATGTGAACTAGGGATGTTAGAAATTGTTTCTTTTACTAATTGTGTAACCGCAACAATTCTTAGCGGTTTTACAGTTACTAAAATGCTCCCCCCACCCCAGGGGCAAGGCTGGCAGTCCGTGCGCTCCCAGCTCCAGGACCCACTCCCAGGGAACTCCCTGCTATCCCCTGCTGCTGCCTCTATCAGAAGCAGCAGGCGGGAGCTGGTTTTTAAACTGGCTCTGTGCAGACAGGCTTCCACCTGCCATCTTGCGCTGCTGTCTCTATTGGAAGCAGCAGCGTGGGGTGGCAGGTAATTCCTTTGCGTGCTCTTCATTGAAAGCTTGAACTGATAGGCTAAAACTGAGCCAACCTGCCAGTCCGAGTTTTAAATGTAGAGCACAAAGTGGAGAGGTGGTGGCGGCGGTGCTGTGGTTAATTGGGACTGTTAACTGACAAGCAATTGCTAATTAATTAAATGGTTTACCAAATAGCTAACAACCCTAATGTGAATAGGTAACTGGTTACTTGGTACTTGGGAGTAGCCTCTGCCAGTTAACCAATTAAATGGTATTTTACATCCCTAATTACAAGTGTACTCTGCAATCTGTCAAATAACTCACTGAGATCTTAAACAGGGCTCATTTCAGGCTGCAGCATAGTGGCCTAAAAGTGAAATATCAAAATTTGTGATCTCTGCCTAGAAAATAACAAGTAGAATTGTTATAGTATTTAATTAAGACAATAGTTATTGCAGGGGAAAGCTACAGATGAAGGAAGACTCAATAGCACAGAGATTACTCAAAACTTCTCTGTACCAAAGAAAGCAGTGTTAGAGACTACAAAATGATCCATCTCACTGTAGGACGAAATGAAAGCCAAACCACCCTGGCCATTCCCATATTTGCAGCGAACAGAATTCGTTTGGGAAAGAGGGGAAAGGAAAAGGGAACAAAGAATGCTAGAGTTTCAAACGGTGTTCTCAATTTACTGAGATTCAGGATTTCCAAAGTAATTTGATATTACTGTAATCTATTTCAATATTGTTTATATACCATTCCTGGAACAGGAACACACTACAATTTAAATTAAAATACGAACCAGTAGCGTTCCAGCAGCGTTCTTTCTACCTTTGCATCAAGTTACCCAATACTTTTAAATGGGCTTTTTGATTAATCTTGTTGACTACACTCACTCTCCCGTTTTGCTGCCTCTGTATCAGAGGCAGAGAGGAAGGGGGAGAGGGGAGAGGAGTGAGAATCGGTGCCTGTGAGAAGCTGGCTTTAAGCAGGCTGCCCATGAGTATTGGATCCACTGATAGAGAAGCAGCAGTACAAAGGGTGAGGGGGATAGGCTGGAGCTCATATGCACCGGATGCTGGCTTTCAAGCAGTCTTCCCCTGCGTGCCTGCTTCACAGAGGCAGCGAGGTGAAGTGGGGGCAGACAGGAGCCAGTGCCTGGGGGAGCTGGCTTAAAAGCTGGATTCCCCCCCAGTCAGTTCACAGGGGATCCAAGTGCCCCGTGGATAGAGGTTGCTGCCTGAGAGCAGGATTTTAAACTGGCTTCCCTGGCAGAGAGAGGAAGGGGGAGAGGGGAGAGGAGTGAGAATCGGTGCCTGTGAGAAGCTGGCTTTAAGCAGGCTGCCCATGAGTATTGGATCCACTGATAGAGAAGCAGCAGTACAAAGGGTGAGGGGGATAGGCTGGAGCTCATATGCACCGGATGCTGGCTTTCAAGCAGTCTTCCCCTGCGTGCCTGCTTCACAGAGGCAGCGAGGTGAAGTGGGGGCAGACAGGAGCCAGTGCCTGGGGGAGCTGGCTTAAAAGCTGGATTCCCCCCCAGTCAGTTCACAGGGGATCCAAGTGCCCCGTGGATAGAGGTTGCTGCCTGAGAGCAGGATTTTAAACTGGCTTCCCTGGCAGAGCAGTTACCGCCTGCAACCCCGATTCAGAGGCAGCAGGGTGGGATGGCAGGAGTGGGGCTGGAGCATACTGGCTGCTGGCCCTGTCCCCAGGACTATCAAAGAGTGGTGTAATGGCTAAGATTTCATGTCATTACACAGCTATTCAATTACATGATATTTAACATCCCTAGCGTCCTTTGCCCAGATGTCTGCTGCTACATCTGTAGTCTGCTTGTCAAACTGGCACTGGCTTCCAGTTGCCAAGTTAGCTTCAGGTTCCCCCTTGATTTCATCTCTATAAATAAAAATGTTTGCACACTGCTGCCCACTCTATTTGAAGCTGGTTGTAATAGAGCTATGCTTATATTGGTTCAACAACTGGAAGTTTGATTTGCCACCTCATTGACCGATTTCACCCTATACAAGTGAACTATGCAAATGAACTAAGGTAGGCTACAAAAGACAGGAGTACTTTACCTCCAACACTTACAACTGGCAAGACCATTAAAACATGGTATCTTTTGCAGGAATTTGTAATAACCTGCTTCCACTAGACTGGAGAGCAGGGATCGGCAAACTTTTCAAACCAAAGAGCCAAACTGCATCAAAATTCAGAACAATCAATCAGCAAAGAGCCATATAAGAATGCCCATTTGCATGAAACGTATTATTGATAAGTGACAGGATGATTAATAATAGCATAAATGAAACATTGTACTCCTAGACTATTTAATGGGACTTCTGCTGCTGTTGGGGTTGCAGTTTGTGGATGCAGGGGGGGTGCAGGAGTCAGGGTTAAGATGCATGAGGGGTTCAGGGCAGGAGGGTGGGGTGCGTGGGAGGTTCAGGAGACAGAGCAGGGAGCGGGAAGTAGAATATGTGGGAGGCCCTGGAGCTGGATACCTTATCTGGGCCAGGGCTGGGCTGCTGCACCAGGGCAACAGTGGCTGGATGAGGGGCCCAGCCAGTCGTATTGTGGCTTTTCCTCCTACCTGTGCCACAGTAATAGGGGGGGCCACCACCAGCCCTTCCTGCAGCCAGATGGGGGCTGGACCACAGGGCCTGCTGGCCCCAGGATTGGGGGAGGGGACAAGATGCTGTGGCCAAATGGGGTTGGCCAGGCTGCCATGGCTAGAGCCCAATCCGGGGCACTGTGGCTGGGCTATTGCAGCAATCGTGGAGCCACTGGGGCTGGGCCGTGGGGGTCTGCCCCAGGAGTACGGCAGCTGGGGAGAGACCACAGCAGTCAGATGGGGGCTGGAGCCGGGCCACTATGGCCAGATAGGCTGGTGACAGCAGATGCCTCTGTTTCACGATCCTGGCTGGGAGCACGCAAGCATCCCCTACAACTTGCCTTTAGCAGGCCCTTTAAACAAGCCGAGTGTTCCAGCCAGCTCTTGCCACAGTGCAGTCATTTCTTATCAGGGTGCACTGCCTTACTTTCATCTCTGGTTAAATGTGAAATAGACACACATACAAAAAAGAGAGAGACCATCTTGACAAGTAATTATGCATTTTTTAAATTAAAATGAAAAATTAATTCAAAATTTTAAGAGTTGCATATGTTTTGGGAATGACAGAACAGCCATACTTGGTTCCGTCCTAAGCCATATTTGACTCAAGGAGCCATAGGTTGTGACCCCTGAAGTAGAGACTACCATCATGCCATGATTGGACACTACAGTTTATTTAACTGTACTGCAGTAGTATCTAGACTTCTCAGTCATGGACAAAAATCCCATTGCTCTAAGCTCTGAACAAAGTAAAAAGTTCCTGCCTCAAAACATACAATCTAAGCATAAGATAAGAGACACTACAGGGCGCCCCTGTATACATCGATTCCGCACTAAAGTCACTGACTCTTTGAAGAACTGATGCATTATAAGTCCTCCCATTCTCTGCTCTTACATCACACAAAAAACCCCAAATCCCAATTTGTGCAAATGGAAGTCAGCAGGACAAAAATTCTCTACTTTATATCTTTTCACTGTACACCCACATTTTTTGGAATACCCCATGGATGTGTAGTGGGGATACCCTGTAGATAGATGCAACTGAAAAGGGACAGAACACAGGAAACAGTAAAAAAAAAATACTAGTCACCATTAGGGATGTTAGCTTCTAACATTTAACCAATAAGCCTGGGCTTATCAATTAATCCTAATGACTACACACATTCCCCATGCCTGCCTGTGTGTGTGGGAGGAGGGTGGGGGAGAGGAAAAGAAGAGAAGAGAAGAAGCTGGTGTCTGTGAGGAGCCAGTTTTTAAGCCAGCTCCCCATGAACACTAGATCTTGCAGAGCTGCCCCCTTTAGACTCCCCCCCACCCCAACTGCTGCTTCTGATGGAGAGGCAGCAGCACGGAGAATAAGGTGGGCAGGCAGGAAGCCAGTATGCACAGGCTTTTGAGCCACCTACCTGTGCATATCAGCTCCCATGGAGCTGCCTGCTCCCTCACACTGGTGCCTCTCTATCAGTCAGCAGCACAAGTGGAGGGTGGGGGCTCACCATAGAGGCTGCTCCATGGGATGCCAGCTCCCCTCCCAGACAGAGGCAGCAGCATGGGGGTGGCAGAGGGCTCCCCATGAGTGGGGCTGGGAGTGCACTGGCTGCCGGCCTTCCCCCAATGACTACTGAATAATCGTGTAACTGTTAAGATTTGGTGCCATTACATGATTATTCAGTTAAACAATATCTAACATCCTTAGTCACCATGACAGGGAGTGGTCTCAGAATGCCAGCTGTCTACCTGTACTGATGAAAGTAAAATGTCAGAAGGATTTGCATTATGAAATAATTTTACCATTTAATACACTGGGGGCAAGCCTCACTCGCCAGGCGCGCTGTCTGCATGCACAGATCGCCCAAACCTGGCTCTTCTGGGTTACAATCTACTTGCCACGGGCGAGTAGATTGTATTATTTGTCGAGCCCTGCTAATACTTTATTCTCAAGAATCAGGTTTTAGATCTCTGTTTTGTCTTAGGTGAACATTTCTCTCCTAAATTAGTGGTTCTCAAAACTATATGATCACCCCCCGTTCTTTGTGTCTAATATTTTATGCCCTCACCATGTTATACAAGTATATGTACACACTAGGGATGTTAGCAAGTTGTGAACTGGAGTATCGACTATGCACTTTCCCCTCCCTTTGCTGCCTCTATGAGAGGCACCAAGGGGGCAGGAAACAGAAGCCTGTGCTGGCGGGAGCCGGCTTCAAAACCCCCTCCCCGCCCCGCTGTTAGTATCAGAGGCAGCAGGGGGGGGATGGGGGGGGCTGGTGCCAAAGAGACAA